CTAGGAAAATGATAACAGGGCCAATTCAGATTGGATAAGAGCAGGTTGAGGCACAAGTGCGCTGTGGGACATCAGCCCTGTAAACAGCCCCCCTGGCCTGGGCTTAGGCTCTGAGCCAACCGTGGAGATACAGCCGCCAGGCCACCCCTCCCTACCCTGCTGCCACCTAAAGGCAGAGTAACCTCTGTTCCGGTTGCTGCCTCTGGAGTAGGAGGCCCCTTATCTCCCCCGTCCTGGTCTGCAGCGTCATCTCCACCACCGCAGCCATTCCCAGTCCCACCAAGCACCTCCACGCAGCCCCGAGGCAGCCTCAGCTCACAATCAACCCCAGGCTCAGGGAGCAGACACACACTTATCTTCGCAGACACTGCCTCCTGGTTGCTCTCGCTGTCCTGTCCAGTCCATTCTAATCCCAGGACCTTCTGTCTGATACCATAATGATGTCCAAATAACAAGAGCAATATTTACAACAACATTTTTACTGACTACTTCCTATGGTGCAGGGACTACAATAAATGCTTTGTTTACCTATATTTTTCCATTCAGTCTTCACGGTAATTCTATGAAGGAGATAAGATCTATTTTCCCCAGTTTACAGAGGAGAAAACTGAGCTACATGGAAGTGCAGTAAACCTACCCAAAGTTATAAAGCCAGTATCGATCAGAGCTGGGAATGGAACCACAGCCTTACCAATTGGACCTCTTGGTCATTAAGATTCAGTTTCTGGAAGTCTCTTCCTAGTTAGTCTTCCTTTGTCTAAACTCTTTAAACTATCTTTCATGGCTTGACCTTGTTCTGTGACTGCCTTGGGGGCTGTTATTCTCCAAACACTCAAACATCTAATTTCCCCTTTTGAAGATGTGGCCTTTGTTGTCTGTCCACAATCAGCTACCATCTACGGCTGGTTAAGGTATCAAAATCAAGAATGGGCCGTTTATCTACATATGGTGGCACTCTCAGGTGTATACATCTAAGATCACTTGATTTCAGTGGTAACAACTAAGAAGCTACCTCCTAAGGGCAATAAACATGGTTCTGAATGAGCCAGAGGAGGCCTTGGTGTCACAGGCAATGCTGGGGATTGACAAGATGGGGAAGAAAGAGATTCCTGGGTCAGTCTGGGGGCATTCTAACCGCTCTTTCAAAAGAAGCCATATTGAGAGGTGGGGATCACGCTTGAGAAAGAATAATTTATGACTTTTGAAACAGTTTCAGCTGCAAGTGATGGAAAGCTCTTAATATTTTAATTTGCATATATACTTTTTCTTTTATAGATATAAGACTAAAATACACAATCCCTGTTCAATTAAATTAGTAAATCAACCAAAAATATATTTAACAGCAATAGTTCGGTTGGTATTGAATATGGCAAAAACTTGAAAGTAATGCCCCAAAGACTGAAGTTTCAAATGTGTACATCAACACGTCTCAAAAGGAGGATACTTGTTCTTTACTTTTCTTAGTATTCTTTTTCCAAGCCACCACTCTCTTCTTCCCAATCCAACAGGTGTCCAGGGCAATACTCTGGAAGCAAGAGACTCTAATGGACACAGGTATCAATTCAATGTATGTGTCCTCAAAAAGAATTTGCATAAGCTCTTGCTAAGTCTACTGTCTTCGTCAAATCATGCCATAATAACGCCTTGTAACGCATCACTCAAAACTCAGTGGTTGCAAAAACGAGCATTTATTCTCATGATCAAAGATCTGTGTGTTGCCAGCTGTTCCACTGATGTAAGCTGTGTTCGTTTGTGCTTTGGGCTGCATCTGGGTGGGCCTGGATCTAGGCATTAGGTTCCTGCAGGTCTGTCGCATGTGTGTTTCTTCCAGGGCCCAGGCTGAAGGGGCAGAAGCTAAGCAAGTCATGTTTTCCCATAAAGAATCACCAGAGGGCAAGACTGAAGCCAAACCATGCAAGTAATTAAGACTCAGTTTTTAACCATGTTTACCAGTGTTCCATCGGTCAAAGTTAATCACATGGCCGAAGCCAAAATCAATGGACCAGGAAAAGAATACTTCCCTCATAGGAGGGGAAGAGTAGTGATTATTTGCTAAATAATGAATCCAAACCATCGCACCTACTTCACTGAAAACCTTACATACTCTCCAGCTAGTGTGAGGGGTTTGGTTCACCTGTGTGGTAGCAGAAATATTAGCACCCTAGGTGAGACCAGCAAAAATCTACACAGAAAAGAAATGGCAGGAACCCAAATGGTTCAGCCTTCTATGTGAGGAAACCCCACAGATCTTTACGTCACACAAATGGTGGCCTTTGTTTCATCTGCCCTCAGGCACTGCAGGGCATCTCAGGACATGTGGCAATGTGGCATCTGTAAGGTCGGATCTTAACAAAACGGCACCGCGAAACAAAGGAAAGCTTCAAGTGAGCTTTATTAGGGAGCGGTCCCGGGCGAGGTTCACTGGTCCGAGAGAAAGGGGCCAGAGAAGTCGCGTCCAGTACTGGATGAGGGGAATTTTTATTGGGGTAAAAGCAGAAGG